AGCAGGGGGTCTCGCATAACGTTCAAAGACGGCTCCCAACATTGCAAAGAACTCTCACGTGGCAGGGATCATATCAGCATATCCGAGTAGCCCAGATTTTTAAGTAGTCATACTGATACTGACAACGCAAATACCAAATCAACTGATGAGAAAAAAGAAGGCACGAAAGTCATCGATAAGCCTTGTGTGTCTTGTAGGAAATGGAGGGTGGGGAATGGATTGCCATTAGATGGCTCACTCTCAACATCCCTCAGTCCCACCAGCTGACATGAAATAGTGATTCCTCAGATTGCTACCAGTTGGTGGGTTTGGGGTTTTTTTTTGTTTGGTTGGTTGGTTGGTTTTTTAAATTTGCCAGGACACAGCCATGAGATCATACAATTCTGTGTTTCACTCTAGTGATTCACTTGTTCACAGTGGACGAGAGTATTATTCCAGTTACTAACAAATACGCTCTGACTAATTCAGCTTTTAATTTGTCCCCAAAGCTCTAGCTCCTTGGACAGCAGATAGACTTTTTGAATTAAAAAAACCCAAACAGACACAAAACTTGCAGTTAAGATTGAATTTGGATTGAGTAGCATAAAACATAATACAATAAAGAAGCCATTTCCAGCTCCTCATTTTTTCCCTAAGATGAGACATATCTGTGCCTTGATGCAAATAAGAGTATATAGAATGCAATCTCATTAATGATGCACTGGAAGTTAAATTGCTCTGCATAAGTTAGCATCCGCTACTCAAACCTTAATAACAAGCAAAACAGTCCTGATTTAGCTGTTTATATTCTTCTTAAAAAGCCATTCTGAAAGACATTCTACAGCATCTTTTGCAAGACAGCCAAATGAAGAGGGAAATATTAACTTATTAATTCTACAAGTCAGAAGAGGCAAGAGGAGGAATAAAAAAACCCCACATAAAGCAAAAATAAAACTGTCTTTCCTCCTCTGTGCACTACTCTTCCTCCTCCCAAACCCATAAGACTTTTCTGGTACCTTACAGGAAGATGTCCAAGCTTTTTTGGCATTGTTAGAAGACAGTAATTATAGCAGGTGGTATTTGTGTATTGTTGCTTTTATTATTAAATATCATATAGGAAGCTCTCAGTTATTTAATTTACAATTTATCTACTGTTAAAAGAAATGTGGCATTTTCTGAACTTTCCTCTAGTGGCTTAAAAGACATTAATGTTGAAAAGAAAAACAAAGATAAGGAAAATAAAAGATCTTGTTCAAATTCACCTTATGCTGATCTCAAGGCTCCTTACTGACCTCCCCAACTCTCCGCAGCCATCTGCCCACACCAGAATCGTGGCACCTGGCACGCTTTCGTTTCAGGAGGGCGCTGACTATTGATCACTCCTTTCCTGTTCTGGCCCTCGTTCTTACGCACTGAAGATTTTCACTAGTCTCTGCTAGCGTTCTCATATTACTTGCGAGTCAGTAAAAATATTCTTATCCATCAAATAAAAAAAGAAAGTATTAGTCAAAAGGCCATTTGGAGTATTTGCTTTGGGAATACCTAGATAGTCCATAAGAAAAGCAGCTGAAGCAAAGTAGAAGGAAGACAAGATATGACTAGAATCTTCTTTCCTTAATTTCTTGAGCTGCAAATTTCTGTTCCACTACCACAGATTAACTTGCGTAACCCATTTATGCAATCTGTTAAGAGAGTTGTATTTTCTTAACCTGAGACAAAAGGGGGGTTTAAGTTATTATTTTTAAACACATTAAGGCAGAGAAATGTAGCATTTTCAATTAATATGAGAAAGTGCTGCTGAAAAGTACAAGTGGAAGAAAAAAAAATTCTATTAGTAACAACCCGAACTTCCCTTCTTTTTCTTGAGACTCCTTCAGGTACAAACCAGTTCCAAATTAAAAGTTACATCGAAAAAAGGTAGTTTGTTCATGAGCGGGTAAACACAGCAATAAAAACAACGGCTGTTTTCACCTGACACACATTTCCTTTGTTGAATAAGCTTAAGTATTAGAAATAAATTATTGGAAGAGTGGGAGAAATCTCTAATGAAATATTCACCTATTATACTGGTTCAGCAAACTTTTTTTGCCAGCATACTTGTCTGTAGAAATATTTGTATGAGAAAAAATGAGCAACAGGTATATTTCCTGACACTACTTTTATAGTCATATATGAGAAGTCTTTGACTCTTTTTCCTATAACTAGCTCCTTCAGTTAAATTACCAAGATATTCTACTTTTAAGCTAGACGGACGCTATTACAAATTTTCTAAAATTTCAAATATAAGACTCACGCACATTCTTCCCTTAACTAGATTCTGCCACGTCTTCAAGGAGAAGGGAAAAACGTGAGATAGCCAGAGAAGTTGAGCCATACTTTATTTGGCTGCAAATACTAAGCTACATATCTGAGATGCCTGGGACCTTACAGGAATAAAAAAGGCCAGGAGTTCAAAGGATCAACAGACCTTCTATGAGGAGATCTGGGTGAATGAGCGCAGTTACTCAAAAACTGAAACCTTTGAAAACAGGACGATGTTCATCATCTTGCTCCTAGCATGTTACGGCCCTTGCAAAGCCTTATACAAACGAAGTCTAGACCCAGGCTGAAAACTGAATGGAAGTTATACCTCCTGTTTTCAAGTCCTTGTTTATTAATGTTTGGTTAGGACCAGCTGGCCATTTTAGCAATGTCAGGTCTTTCCTCGCCTTGGCGTTCTTTATAACATCTTTATGGCCAGTTAATGGTTAGCATAAAGTGATGTTAACTTGTATGATGCATGTCTATCCCAGCTGGGGTTAGACACCTTCCTACAAGCCTGGTTCTGCTTGGTACATTTCGAGTTGGCACACAGTTAGTACTAATGCTAGAAAGAATCCCTTGGCAGCTAAAAAAGGAGGGCATTGAGCTGAGCTGTCATTAATAGACCAGGCTGACTTCTTGCTCCCAGTCACATGCTAGGAGACAAGAAGTCACA